CGCCTCGGCCTCCCAAAGTGCTGGGATTACAGGCTTGAGCCACCGCGCCCGGCTATATATACCATTCTTACATCATACATACACATGCATACACCTATCCCCAACACCAGCAAGGTGAGGATTCTGTCTTCAACTTGCTTCCAAAAACAGATGTTTGGCCAAGCATGGTGGTTCTTCCCGGCTCACTAATCAGCACACCTGCTCAGAGTTTACTACAAATGAAGCACAGGGCCAGACTATTTCTTGAAATCACTGTTCTCATTCAGTGGCCTGGTAAGCTAAGTTCCTTACCAGAATCTTTCCAAATAAAGGTGGCCTCTACTTTGGAGGATACAGAATTTAAGCATCACAAAAACCTGTATGTGGTAAGAAAAGCACATTGGCTAAAAGATAGCTAATGAGGATTCTAGTTCTAACTCCATCAAACTACATATGCACTTGGCCAAGTCACTTAACTTCCTAGACTAGCCTGGGGCTGAAGAAGAAAAAAAAAAAAAAAACCTTAGTAAAAAAAATCCTAAGGCTGGGCACAGTGGCTCACACCTGTAATCCCAGCACTTTGGGAGGCCAAGTCAGGTGGATCACTTGAGGTTAGGAGTTTGAGACCAACCAGCCAAGATGGTGAAACCCTATCTCTACTAAAAGTACAAAAATTAGCTGAGTGTGGTGGTAGGCACCTGCAGTCCCAGCTACTCAGGAGGCTAAGGAAGGAGAATCACTTGAACCCAGGAGGCAGAGGTTGCAATGAGCCAAGATTGTGCTACTGCACTCCAGCAAGACTCCATCTCAAAAAAACAAAAAATTCTAGAAGCACTGAAGCAGAAGAGGCCAAGGAGAAAGACAAAATAGCCTCAAGCCTGACAAGGTTTTTTTTGAGACAGAGTTTCCCTGTCACCAGGCTGGAATGCAGTGGCATGATCTCAGCTTACTGCAACCTCCACCTCCTGTGTTCAAGCGATTCTCCTGCCTCAGCCTCCCAAGTAGCTGAGACTATAGGCGTGCACCACCATGCCCAGCTAATTTTTGTATTTTTAGTAGAGACAGGGTTTCACTGTGTTGGACAGCATGGTCCCGATCTCTTGACTTTGTGATCTGCCACCTTGGCCTCCCAAAGTGCTGGGATTACAGGCATGAGCCACCACACCCAGCCTTTTTTTTTTTTTTTGAGACGAGTCTCACTTGTCACCCAGGCTGAAATGCAGTGTTCGACATGGGATTATAGGTACCCATCACCATGCCCAGCGAACTTTTTTGTAGTTTTAGTAGAGACGGGGTTTCACCATCTTAGCAGGCTGGTCTTGAACTCCTGACCTTGTGATCCACCCGCCTCAGTCTCCCAAAGTGTTGGGATTACAGGCGTGAACCACCGCACCTGGCCAAGCCTGACAAGTTTCTTCAAGTCAAAACAGTTTCAGGAAAACATGTAAGAATCTATTTATATTTAAGTTCATGAGTCACATCCACATTATGTTCCTGGTAAAAATTCAGAAAGGACACAGC